TTCGAAAGGCTTTAAATCAACGAACTATTCTTTCGTATTACAACACTTATTATTTATAATGTCAAAATACTTCCTGAATAAAAATTCTATGAAAATGTCAAAAAAATGAGAAAGGGTAACGAAACCGCTTCGTATATCTACTGAAATGCAGGAGCGTTAATCGAGAAAATGTAAAAAACATTTTTGATAAATTAAAAGATAATTTGTTAAAAATACGTTTTAAATAGACGCTCAATTACGGTTATTTTATTACCATCAAACATGGCAAGTAAAATAGTCCCAATAAAATCAAAATTTAAATATAAGTATGTTTTTTGTCAAACTGAATGAAATGAGTATGAAATAAATTATCCTATTCTGTTTCACCCGCTGTATTTCAAAACATTTCGTTTATAATGGACTAAACAAGCATTTTTTAAAAGGCTCAACACAAATTGGAAGTAGATGGTAAAGTAGGTATAAAAGTTCTACAACGTTGCTTGGAATAAAGAAAAAAAAAACATGAATTGAATAATTTTGTAATTGGTATGTAATGTCCATGTCCTTTTTGAAATTCACTTTTGAGATTTCCAAAACTCATTATGTATTAATTATAGTTTTGTTTGAAGGGAACTTACCTGATCAATAATCAAAACTTTTTTTCTTTATTTATCTCCGTTTCTATTTCTCACGTTGTAGTAAAAAAAACATTAAAGATATTCTTTAATGCACCTACTCCTTTAGATTAATTTTGTTTTAGTTCAGATGTATTTTTCTATTAATTATAAGTTGTTGCGATAATTGCAGATCTTTATTTGGATAGGGGGGAGGGGGGTACAACGATGTTTTTTTCTATTAAACAATAAATGAACAAATTACTCAGAAACTAACTCATTCGTCACTAAATCTCGAAAATTTCAGTCGATTAATAAAAGTTTCGGCCCCCATCGCCACCGATCAGAGCGCCATGAATAATTCAAGCCGCGAGCGCACGTCCCTGGCCAAAATAACCTCTAATTCCGTTCTAATTTAGAGCAAGAGAGAGACGTTTTAATCAATAGCTTACATATAGAGTTCTATTAAACTCCGGCTGCCCGGTCTCTCTAAGATGACCGTCTCGCCTCCTCGTCCCCTCGTTTCCCGCCGCGCTCCTCCCTCATACCACCACACGGGGGTTATATATCCAGTACAAATATAATCAGATTCAATATTGGGTTTCTATGAGGAGGAAATCTTATTATTGTAGTGGACTTGAGAGCTGTACATGCTTTTCAACATTTTTAATAATCTCGGAGATATGTGAGCCGGCCACCGGATTAGCGGGAGAGGGTGGTTTTTCAATTTTTCGAGGGAAAGTCCGGTAGGAACGGGGGTCTAACTGAGTTCGAAGCAAAAATATTAGGTATGGTATGTCGCGAAGTATATCGTCTTGGCTATTGACGGCAATTATTATTATTTAAGTGATATGTATGTTAAGTATAATGAAATCACTGGTATTCGAACTAATGGATAATACCATGACACTTAATGTATACAAATCAGCATCATCATCGAGCCTGTTGAGTCCAAACCATTGGAGGTCTTCCCCTGATTTTTCGATTTCGAATCGATTTCATCGATTTTCGAAAGTATCTGCGCATGTATAAAGATTTTATATCTCGGTAACGGTATGGGATCGCAGTTGGTACAGAAATTATCACCGTCGAAAAAAAAACATTTTTTTTATCTGTTTGTCCATTCTCCATTCTCGTCTTTTGATTTTTCCTGAATAACTTTCGAACCGTTGGAGCTACAAAATCGAAATTTGCCTCTTTTTTAACCCTCCACGAGGCCCATAAGCTTTTTTTTTTTCGCTATTTTCGACTGTTTTTTGGACCTTGCTATGAAACACGATAAGTGCCCGAAATTTGAAGCAATCGACTTCATATTTTGCACATATATGCAGCACTAGGGGTGCCTATTCTATATAGGTTTTAAAATTGTCTTTTAAAAAATATGCAATGGACAACGCAAATTGTCACAACCGCCAACTGCAAAAAGCTCGAAATCATATATACTTTCAACCCTGTTAAGTGAAAAAATTGAACTCCTATATCTAAAAAATGCGATGGTATGCGAGCATTTTTCTTCTAAATTCAATACCCAATTTTTAAATTAATCTGTTCTATATTTTAAATGTTTTAGATGTGCTGAGGTCCACAATTTAATGGAATTTCAATTAAGGATTTAGACAGACAATAGAAAGACAATGGGGCAAAAATCAATTATTGTTTATAGCCCACCCTTCAAGAATCCAAACAGTGTGATAGTTAAGGTTTAATTAAAAAATATATATTTTTTTAATAATTAAGTATCGTATTCGATTATTCCTTGAAGAGGACTATAGGTAAATTGGACATCGCTAATGCATAATAATTTAATATAAAATACTTATTATTATTAAATAACGATAGATAACACTCTACAATTGCAAGAAGTTATTTAAAACACTTTTTGACTAATCAATTATGAACTGGCCAATTGACCAATCTCAACTCTAACTATCAAAGGAAAAGTTATATAAAAAGTAAGAGGAGTGCATCAAACAACATGAACAAATACAGTAGTATAAACAAACCAAGTTATAAGCAAAACAATGCAAAATTACTTTGATTAAAACGAAATGTATAAAATAACATGGACAAACATACATCCAGAAACTATTAATTAAACAAAGACCTGAAGCAGGTTAAAATCAAACAACAAAAAATAGGAAAGTATAAAATTACATTGTTAAAAACATAAAAAAATTATTCTTCATAAATGCTCTAAACTCTTTGACTCAGCAGAACGTATGTCTAAAAAGTAATGCATTCATATTTGACACAAAAAGTCTAGCCACCTCTCTAGAGCCACCTCATAAAGCTAGGGGAGGGTGAGGCAAGATGGACCGCTTAACCTTTTTATTATTTTTGGTGGCTTTAACCATCAAGTATGTTACATATAATAATAATGTTATATTTAATAATTATATTTATTTATTTAATAAAAAAAACGTTACTGATTAGTAATTATTTTTTTACCTCTGATTTTAGGCTAAATCCACAGAATTATCCAAAAAATAACACTTTCAATAAATTAATTATGATTCGATTACAATAATATAGAAATTTTAAGCTATCCATTTTACCCCTAGTATAACGCAAAGGGCTAAAAATGTACAAATAATCAGAATTTATAATTATAATAACGAAAAAAAAATTTGGTTAATTTTTGAGGAGTTTAAGCTCTTTTGGTCATTTATAGTCAGAGACTGTCCATATGCTCCGTCTAAATTCTTATTAATTTTAACCCCAGACTCCTGTACCTGTATATACCTCAACCACATAAGGTTTCACATGATTTAACTTTAATTTACTAGTTTTACAATATGTAGCTATTTCCTTAAAACATTGTAATACTTTAAGTTTTCTTTTCTCCGGGTTGGCATCTTAAAATGGTTTTGTTGTATGTGTGTGTTTTGGATTCGTCAATGGATTCGAGGAAATGACCTCATTAGGTATTATTAAAATTTAGAATTCATTAATTTACGAGGTTAGCGCCAAAATTTACCGGCCTGACATAGATGCAGCTCCAGTATCACGATAAAACTTTGTCTCCTTTTAAATATATATCTTAGTAGGCTGCGAAAAAAAAATTAAAGTCTTGCGTCAAATAGTTTTTTATTGACAGCATTTTAAACAAGACGTGTCCGAAAAAATGTCGCAAATAGCGCAAATTGAGTATAGAGCAGTTATAAAGTTTTTGACAAAAGAAATGTCAAATTATTAAAGAAAGGCTGAAAGATTTTTCAAAGAAACTTCCACAGGTTCCTGTAATGCTTTTTACAAAACTTCTAGATTCCTCTTGCGTCGGTTTTTGCTTAGTCCAGATTGCTAACGTTTCGCCAATCATCCTGTTGCTTCTTCAGAGCTTGACTGAAACTGGGCTCTTCGACTAAGCAAAAACCGAGGCAGGAGGAATCCAGAGGTTTTGTAAAAAGCAAAGGCTGGATGGTGTGTACGGCCAAAGTTCTCCTTCGTATTCTGTAGTGAAAGAATGGGCAAAACGTTTTCGAATGGGGCAGGAGTCCCTTTAAGATGATTCAAGAACTGGTCGACCAGTGGAGGTCATAATGGAAGATATTGTTGCGATTGCGGAAGAGGTGGTATTGAGTGATCAACGTTTAAAGGTCAAGGAAATCTCAGAAATTACTAAGCTTTCAAATACAAGTGTTCGTCCGATCCTGTATGATCATTTAGGTATGCATAACCTTTCGGTTATTCAAAAACAACGCCGTGTCGAGTGTGCGCGGTCTTTTTTGGAACTCTGTGGGTCAGAACCGAAGCCTGTGATAGAAACTATTATGACAGGAGATGAAACTCTGGTTCTCTATTATGACCCTCTATCGAAAAAATAATCAATGGAGTGGCGTCGTAAGGGTGAAGCACCTCCTAGAAAATTCAGAGTTTGCCAGTCATCAAAAAAGGTGATGGCCACGATCTTTCGGGATTGTGAAGAAATTCTTTCGATAGATTTTAATAAAACTAATATCACTGTCAATGGTAAATATTACGCAACAATATTACATAAATTGTGAGACTGCATACGTGTAAAACTGACCAGAGGCGTGCGTCTTTTGCACGATAATGCACCCGTCCACACTGCTGGTGTTGCACAAGCTGCCATTTTAGAGTGCGGGTTCCAACAGATAGATCATCCTCCCTATAGTCCAGATATGACCCCCGGCGACTAGTATTTGTTTGGATATTTGAAAAAGGACTTACGTGGACGGCGGTTTAACGACGAAGTTGAGTTAAAAGAGGCTGTTTTAGCTCATTTTGCTCTCGTAAACTATCTACTTTTTTTAACATTTATGCAATCTTTATTAAACGTAATAAACTGCACTAATAACATAATTTTTAAAGTGGCCGCAAATTTTTTGAACAACCTTCCAAGCATTGTAGTTCGGTTTCGACTAGTTTTCCTTTTTGATGTTGCAGGAAAGCGACAGCGAAAGCAGTACCGGATCACCCGAACCTGCCGAGGATGCTGGCAGTTGTACTGACCTCTCGATCAGCGTCGGCCGACCTCTTCCGCCTGCGCAGGTCCGGCCTCACGACGAATTCTCGACGTCGGACAACAAAATGTCGTCACCTGGGCCTCCCCACCCTGCATCTCACCTCAACGGAACAAGTACGTGATCTTTTTTTTTAATATACCGCAATCCCTAAGTTGTTTACTCATCCTCATTGTGTTCCTACTCAGTGGCGAGCCTCGTGACTCTCCAGAACCTCCAAAATCTCGCTAATCTCCAGCAGAACTTACCGCAGGTGGCTTCGTTGGCTGCGAATCTGTCGACGATGGCCAGCTTATCGGGTACCACCTCACTCAACAACTCAACCATGGCCAACGCACCACTCAATTTGAGTATAAGTGCCACTTCAGGTAGGCAAATCTTCGCTAACGACGGGAAAACCCGATTATAATGATAATGATAATATATATTGGACAACTTCTCTTACTGGCGCAGTTTAATTTACGTTGACCTATTCCACAACATTGATTTCCATTTCTTCACTCAGAATAAAATTATCACGTCGATTATTTTGTGGATTTCTCGTTTTCAATTCCAACTTTCTAAAGAAAGAATGTGCAGGAATGCGACGTTCCGGATACCGACCTGCATACAATGCACGGCGCTGTCGAGAGTTCCCCGTATATCAGAAACATGTTAACTTTTTCTCCATTTGTAAAGTGATTATTGCTTTCCATGATAATCGAAGTCGATAAGACGGCCAAATCGATCATCAGATAAAAATGTACAAATTTTCAGAATTTTCAATCATGCCAACTTGATAATAAGTAGAATCAAAGCCACCTAAGTAATATTTTGTTTTTATGCAAATATATTTACTTATCAGGTTTTTTCTTGCCCACGAGATTATTTTTCAACGGATTTTGAAAATTTTCTTGTCAAAATGTTGCAAAAAAGTACCGGTTTTAAAAATTTCAAAAAAGCATATCATTTTTATTTTTTAATTAATTTTAAGGGTTTTTGCAATGGGTGATGGATCTTTTTTGTAGATAAGGTAATACAGAGATTTACAGGTTAAGGAAATTAAAACTTCATCATTTTTTACATCGTCAACGATGTAAAATAATATATATAATTATGATAGAAGTTTAAAAATTTAAAACAAGTAACACTAGGAAATAAAAGCAACAAACAACAGTAACTGTAACAATTAAAGTAAAAACTATGGTAAAACAAAATAGAAAATCTACAGTAGGTTTCAACATGTTTATAGCATTGGAAACAAAATCGGTGTTATTTAGTTGGACTACGGCTTCTCTAGTACAGCATTGTAGTTCATTTGCCGTAGTGCATTTTTCTTTAAATATCAAATATTTAATTGTCCCCCATAAAAAAAGTCCATTGGAGTAACATCTGGACTTCAAGGTGGCGCCCAGATGTTTCCATTTTGTCCTATCCAGAGATTGCAATTTTGATTTAAATCAGTGTTTCCCCGGTGGTACGGAGCGCCATCTTGCTGTCATATTAATTGACCACGTTCACAAGCCGGTATTTTTACTTTTCCTATTAATGGTTGTATTCCATTTCCGAGCATATTTAGATATCGTCTAGAGCCCTATAACCTTTGACGGGTATATTCCGCTCCACATTCTCACAGATCGTGTGTGTTTTTGGATGAAACATCTACTCCTCGGTCCAAATTATATGACGCAAGGCGTTATCAGTGAAATGTACGTTCGTTTAGATATTGCACTAGTAAAAACGAACGAAATTTTTAGAGATAAGGAATATTTACGAGTTTTAATTTTAAGCTTTACTAAAAATTGAACGTCAATTTTTAGTAACGTCCGTTTCGCCAATTACGTAGAACCTCGTTGTTCTTTCTGGGACACCCTGTTCATTAAAGTTTCACTAAACTTACCAAAACCAAAACAAAATGAGAAAAGTGTAGACCTCTGACCAAAGGAGTCATTATTGCGCTTTCTGCAGTAACGACGCCTCGAAGCAGTCAACCAGGGGCACCAGAAGCTCCGCCGAGTGGCATCGCGCCCCTAAACCCTCAGCCGCCCCCAGCGCCGACGTTGCCGACGTCGAATCCCTTAATGAGCCCACCGCAACAACCGGCACCCATGCCTCAATTCATTTTAGCCTCCGGACAGCTGGTCCAGGGGATCCAAGGGGCCCAATTGCTCATACCCACCTCTCAAGGTACTTTACGCGATGCGACTTACCTCGAAACGATTTTTACGATGTCATTTAAGGTTTGGCCACGCAAACGATCCTGACGATCCCGGTCAATCACGTCAACAGTTCCGACCAGATGGTCAATCTAGCTTTAAACAACGGGCAAGTGATGCAGACATCGTTGGCCAATCTACAAGCGATTGCCCAGAGCAACTTGCTTGCCAACACGGCCAATAACGCAGGTATAGTGATTGAGGTGGGCCTCCTTGCCCCACCCTCTTTGGTTATATCATCTGATAACGTTTTTTTTTTATTATTATTTGATTAATTTCATAAGAAAACCCAATGTTATCGCGCTGGATCGAAAAATAACGCTTATTCATTATTGATCTGGTCTTATTGCCGAGGATGTCAATTTGGTATTTCAATTTTCAGTTCCAACCACGAACGGAACGATCAACCCGAGCCTCCTCAACCCCACCACCCTGTCGCACCTACTCTCGACTAGCAGTCCCGCTCAGCAGCTACTACAAACGCTCCCGCAGTTAATCACGAACCCTCACGCGTCCGCCGCAGCTCAACCTCAACCTCCCCTACTCAATAGCCTCGCTCAACCCCTCCTATCGACTCCTCCCACGATGCTACCTACACCAGCGGCTCAAAGCACTGCGCCGCGACCTCCCCTAAGCAACAACCATTTCGGAGAGACCAAACACCACCCGGCCCAGTCCATTTCGAGGAACTCGTCCCCCACGATGGGCAACGTGCCCAATCGGATCGGGTCGAGTAACGGGGACCTCAGTATACCCTCCAGCATGGGCCTGAGTTCCGGTCAGAGTGTCAAGAGGTCGCCCAGTTCGTTATCGCCCGGGTGCAATGACACTTCAACCGCTGACCTGCTGATCGATTCACCCAGTAAGTGTGACGACTTTGTCATTGTAAGAATATTGATTTGGTATTTGGAAAATTTTTTGAACCATGGCGCAGTTTTATCATTTCATCGTCATCATCATCACATCGAAGTTGTTATATGTGTTTCAAACTAAACAAAAGTTGTAAGGAGGCACCTCAAAGAAGTGTTCGTTGTTCTTTTATATCCAGAATCTGTTGAAAAATATGTTTGTAATACTTCCCTAAATTCGGCTGCAGTGGATGTTAATCATGATTTTAGTTTGTTGATACGAAATGCTGATAAATCGAGAAAGATCTGTCCACGCGATATTATTGTATTGTTCAACTGTGGAATTTTTAAATTTGACACTATAGTCGGTACGATTTGTGATGGCAACAATAAAATGCCAGAGTCAAAATTGAAACTGCTACTACTAGAAACTGATTCTTCGCCTACATTAAACACAGGTTGTGTTACTTTTATATCATGTGTATTCTGTTTTTCTTAGTATTCTTTTATTGTATTTCCCGTATGTATTTGCTTATCCAATTTTCTTTGGTAACTGTCTAGAGAGCTGCCTTCTAAGCAGACACTACTGTAGTATCAACGTGCCTTGCTTCACTTACAATGGTAAGGAGGCAATCTTAAAACTTCATGATCCATTTCAATTGTTTTGTCGTTTTTAGACCATTTTCTGGGTAATTAATTCGCTTACTGCACGGCCAATTGATAATTTCGTCTTTTCTTGTCCATGCATTTGTTAAATGAATTCATAACTAAATAAACTAACGGTAATTTGGATGAAATCGGTTTTAATACAATCGGAGAAGAAACTAAAAACACAGTAATAGAATTAGGTGGATATATTAATTGTTATTAAACTTTCTATTCTGAACTACAATATTGACACTTTTAAGGACGAATTTTTACAAGTGAGTTAACCGAATTTATTTTTTTAATGTTTCATGAAACTAATAATAATCATGTTTCCTGGATTGTTGTTGTTGGAATAATATTTTACGGTTCAACTTTTACGTATTTTCCCAAAACAAGCGGAATGCATTGGCAACGTTTGTTAATTTAAACACAAAATTTTTCTTTGGCCCGCCGATTTTTGAAAGCTCCTCGCGCAATAATAACTTTAATTGCGGGATATGGACGAGCGAGGAGCTTCTGTGTGTGCTGAGTGATCAAAAAGTAAGGTTAAAAATTTAAATGAAAAAATTACTAAAAGTATTTTTTTTCAAATGGAATTACCAATACAAAATGATCTCAAGTATGTAAAAAAAAATCCAAAAGAAACTAAAAATGCAACATTGCAACATTCAGAAAAAATATATAAAAATGAGAGAGATGTTTTATTAAAATATATTTATTTATATTATATAATTTTTTTGTAGAAGTCCTCAAGATATATTTTTTTTCTATTATGTGTCTAAAAAAGTGCTTCTTGTAGGTTTGAAATTTTTCAACAAATTTGTAAATATTCCTGATAAAATTTGTTCCACCTTTAGGCACTATACAAATTCAGAAACTTTTATGTTAATAACTTAATTACCAGACATAATTTCTAAGATTTATAAACAATTTTCAAGCAACATGCCATTTCTTTAGAGTTCGATTGTTTTTTTTTTCTACCAAGTTCATACGTCATCATTTTAAGCATTTTAATCATTTTTACAATGGAAAAAATGTTTTTTTACTAATATTTCGACATCTGCAACCTTTTGAATTTAGGAAGTCTTATATAAAGTCACAATATTTGTTAAAATTATAAAAATATGGTATGTATCTGTTTAAAAAAAAATCACTTCACTTTTTTCAGATTTTTATTCTTAGTTTTTGGTCACCCGGTATTTATTTGTTTCATTAATATTAACAGACGCCGCTAAAGTAGATCCTCTTCTATAGTTAACAAACTTCGTATGTCTGAAATGGTAAGAACTAGGTATATTTATATATATATATATATATATATATATATATATATATATATATATATATATATATATATATATATATATATATATATATATATATATATATATATATATAATGCTTTAATATACACCGTGTTGTATTTAAAAAAAAAGTTGTTACCTATATATGTAGCCATAGAATAACTTAAAAGTAATCCAAACAAATGTTTGTGTTTAGGTTTTTTTTTATGTTTTGAACAGATTCTGATAATAAACTGGCCACCCCGTACATATTCTACGGTAATTGCGCAAAAATACGCCGGGCATTGTTGTACAATAAATTCTTTTAAGCAGCGTAATAACCACTTAAAGCTATTGGCTTAATTAGTATACAATTCGTGCTGCCGCGCGAGAGAGGGAGTGAGAGGGCAGGGGGGCAGCGAATGTGATCAAAAATGATTAATTTGAGAACGCGTTATTATTTCCCAAAACGGAATTGTTATTTAATTATTATTAATGCCCTTTATGTAATTTAATTTAGATCCGATTAGATAAATTAGGAAATGTTTTTTTTTTCGTTACGTTCTAACGATAATTATCTTCGCCGTTGTACTTTTAATTAACCATGACCGGGTTGCCTAAATCGAGACCGTGAATTATTTATGTGCAATAAACAATCCAATCCGCCCGAACGTTTGTTAAGAGAATGTGTTACGTCTTCAAGATCCACGAGCATTACGGGCAATATCTTAGGCAACCACGTATAGCCGGTAATCCACGCAAACCGGCGCCTTCGCCATATATAAAATCCCATATTTCGAGTATAGTTATCATATATTTAACAACTTACTTTAATTATAAAGCTGTTCAATTCAATATTCAACCCAATATTCCATGGCACAACTGTGACTACACTAATGACTAATTCAATATAATAACCTCCCATTCTTACATATTCTTATCAATAGAAAATCACCTTAATGCATTGTCACATCATCATCCGGCCCAAAAATCATCGGTTATCAAACACCTTACTTCTGCTCTTCTCTCTAATAATTTCCACATTAAAGATATTAAGCGTTCCATCATAAAATATACTTCAATACAACCTTCCAATATCAATGAGCTCCAAAGCAATTCCACACTTGCCACTATTGTCCTTCCTTACATTCAAAACATCACTGACCATACATCAACAGTTCTGAAGAAATATAACATCAAAACCAGATTTACCACTTGTCCAAAAATCTCCCAACATCTTCGATCTGTCAAAGACAAAATTCCATTTGAGATACCAGGAACTTACATTGGAGAAACTGGACGAAAAATCAATTTGTTCAATTGTTCACCAATTAGCAATCTAAGCAACCTAACAATCTTAGCAGGTCTTTACCTGTCACCAATATGGGAATCAGTCATTCGAGACGATTTTTATGCCCTTCATTTACCTCCGCCCCCTTCAAACAATATACAGGAGTAAAATGCGAGCCAGTTTCAGTCAAGCTTTGAAGAAGCCAACAGGATGATTGGCGAAACGTTAGAAAGTTCGCAGGAGGAATCTAAGTTTTCTAAATAGTATTACAGTAGCCTGTGGAAGATTCTTTGAAAAAGTAACCTTTATTTTTGTAGTGCAGGTTCAATTTCATATGTTTGCCCAGCCTAATTCCCAAATACTTTTCCGAGTCAGTCTTTGGAATTTCGTCTGTTGTGTATGATGTAAAAGGCATAAATTTTGTTTTGTTACAGTTAAAAATCTTTCTCTATTTTTAACTGCTGCCAGTTTTCTCCCTCATAAAAAATCACACCGTCGTCAGCAAAACTTATAATTTTACCATTTGTATTTAAATGTAGTAGATAATTTCATTACGATAGTAAACAGTATTGGACCGAGCAGACTACCCTGTGGGACTTCGTAAGTCACCGCCTTGTGTACACTGATTTCTATCGAATAAGCTTAGCTTATGATCTTTAAGTCATGGAGTATAATCATTGCAATCTATTTGCGTGTTTAATGCCTGTTTTATGGTTTAGATCAACCGACCATCAACCAGACGAGCAGCAACGTCGTAGACGGCATCAACTTGGACGAGATCAAAGATTTCGCGAAAGCCTTCAAGCTGCGCAGACTCTCTTTGGGTTTGACGCAGACCCAAGTGGGTCAAGCGCTCAGCGTGACCGAGGGACCGGCGTACAGCCAAAGCGCCATCTGCAGGTAAGACCAAGAGACCAAAATGGTTTCAATTTTTCGGGTTAGGAACTTTGTTTGGTCACCAAATTTCCGCTTCGGTTTTTTTTTGTTAGCTAACGCACGGTATAATAGTGGTCACGATATAGTCATGCAGTCGACACGAAGTCACGTTCTAAACGCACATAAATAAAGTTTCCGCGTTCAAAGGCGTTTAATTATTATTAATTAATTTGGCACTAAAATTAGATGTTACGTCGCTTCTTGTCTCGCCACACGATGTGAAACAATTTAAAAAGTTCTATTCAAAGTAATAACGATCAACGTGACACCAAAGCAGACCTCATTGCTGTAAGATGGAATGACAATCATTAATAACCAAATCTTCGAGGTATTAGCCACTCTCAAAATTATATTATTTCATTTACACCCTGTATGGCTTGTGTCATCATCGGACTAAACTCCTAGTTTCTAAATAACCCATATACAAGGTGATTCTCGGGGCAAAGTAGGTCAGACGTGGGACCGTGGGATCAGCTTGATATTTTCCGCCCTTAATTTCTGGTTATTTTTGTACAGTACCACCCTGGCGGTTTTCAGTACTTTTTGTTAAAACCATGGCTACAATTAAATCTTATTACAGGCATATTGCAGACAAGTTCACTCCGTTCATTTTTTCAAATACCGTGTATTTTATCAACCATTCCGAAAGATAATTTAAAACCTAAATGCCCAGAGAGGCATTTTGCAAAAATAACCCTCAATTAATGGCCATAAACCTGCCTTCCTCCGTGATTCACCCTGTGTGTTGTGGAAAGAACTGAACTGACTGTGTGGTTTTGTTCCCAGTGCCCTGGCGTCCCAGATGGTGGCAGCTGCCCAACAGCAAGCAATGTACGTCCTTTTTTACTATACTCGTTTTTGTCCCTTCCGATTACATCCCCACCCTCCATAACCGTAGAGTATACTGCGTGTATATTGAGTGTTGTTTGGTTTTTTGCGCCAGGGCACTGGCATCTCACCCCCCGATCGCACGCTACTGCGACAACCACGCGAACGCGGAAAGTATGCTAGTGTCCTGTGCCAAACATTGTGACGCTTCAAAGAATGATGCAGCGCCACCTGTACAGGGTTTTCATTTATACTTTGACACCCACCTATAGACAAAAAAAAATTACATAAAACTCGTATGGTTCTTTCTGTAGTATCTCCTGTTGGTATCAATAATATGAACTTTTCTTAAATGGGACACCCTGTATATTTTTACTTAACATGGAAGTATCTTTTAAAACGATTTAAGGGAAATATAGTTTGCATTATATTTGGTTTGGGCGGTTTTGAAATACTTTGAATTTTTATTCAAAAATGAATTTTTTTGTTTTTGTTTATAAATTTTCATGACACCCTGAAATATATTTGTTATTAGGGCTCCTTCGGAAGATCAAGACCAGGAGATAATCCTGAGCAAAAGTATTCAGGGTATTCTATATGTAAAAAAAAAGTGAAGTTGTTAATTTTTTTTATCTTCATGGCGTTCATTTGTTTTTGTTGATATTTTCATTTAGGTGGATGTCAAAATATATATGAACACCCTGTACTAATGACGTTTTTGCTTGTTAGGTTTGAAAAATTGGACATCACGCCGAAGAGCGCGCAGAAAATCAAGCCGGTGCTCGAAAGATGGATGAAAGAGGCGGAAGAAAGGTTAGTACTACGGGCCTGTGACGTAAGCGAAGTTTTATCTCAGTTGCGAAGTAAATTTATATCGGACCTACACAATGTTGAATTCTAAATTTGGTTTTAGCTCGTAATATTGACTTAGGAAGTTTTTAGGGTTCTATACGGCTGTCTCTAAGCGTTGCAGAATAATTCTACGCTTAATATTAAGTAAAGAAATAAATTAGTAAATATATATCGCACTTAAGAGTGTCAAATTTCTCCTAAATAACTTTTGTAATAATATTCGTGATATTGGATTAGGGGGCTTCTATGGGTGCCATGCAGGCTGTCTCTAAGATATGAGAAAAAATGCTAGGCATAAATATATAATTAAATATATATCGGATATACAGAGTGTTAAATGTTATGCTGGGGCAACCTTTTGATATACAGAGTGTCAAACTTTTGTAGTCATGATTTGAATAATGATATTTCGTTTGGGGGGGGGGGGGGGGAGTATGATAATTTTCATTCATTCAATATATAATTATTTAACTTGTGTATAAAAAACAACGTTTAAAAAAGTCGTTATAAAAATTATTCATGAAAATCCAAAATCAAATTGACCTTTCGACACTACATATCATATGCTTTTGGAGTGACGTAAGTCATAAATTCCGGGTAGCATTTATTTCGCACCGTTTGAAGATACGCTACCTAACTCAAAAACGATAAGTATACTAAAATTAAAAAATTAGTTTGTGAGCAAAGTGTCCTATCGATTGAGCAAAGTAAATTAATTCCTTCACGAGTACGCAAAACACACTGTATGGTTTGTTGCCTACATCGAGCACCTACAAAGAAATAACATTACTTATTACAAAAAAATACGTTTTATTTTTTTTGTGGCGTGTATAGTAAGCGCGAGCACCAAAGCGTTGAATCAAATTAATGAACCGCCAAAGTTTTTGCGATTACAGGTACAAGAGCGGCCAGAACCACCTGACGGATTTTATCGGGATCGAGCCTTCTAAAAAGCGAAAACGGAGGACGTCGTTCACGCCCCAGGCTCTGGAGCTGCTCAACGCGCATTTCGAAAGGAACACCCACCCCTCAGGTAACACCGGAATGTCTTTTGTTCGGTTCACGCTATAATGCTTCTTTTACACTGAGGATTTCTTCATAAATTTGAAATAAATCCAAAAGGAAGGTTATGTCATAAATAAGTGCATCCAACTATTACCATGGAACATAAGGAAACTTAAATTTTGCTAACTTATTACTAAGTTGCTTTAAAATAGTCGAGAGGAAGCTGTTGGAATTCCAAAATATATGGTGCCTAGTGGATTCGGGTATTCGAAAATGAGAGTTATTTTATTTTAATTTTCTAGCCAATGCCTGACCACCGCCCAGAGGAACTTTTCTTTTCCTAATTTTTGTATAATTTTTACTTTTCTATAGAACAAACTAGGTCTTAAACATTTCAATCCAATAAGGATTATTATAAATAAACATTGTTCCAAAATAACAAAAACAGTCGAACATAACCTCTAAATACTACAAGTTGGTTGTACCGTTAAATCATATTTTGAGGCGTCAAATAAATTACTTCAATTACTTCAATTCATTGTCAATGTAAAACTGGTATTATTACATAATGGAGAGCTAATAATTTTTGGCTGGGCCTATATATTTCTAACATAAATTGCTTCTTTTTTGCATGGAATCGTGCGTTGTAGAAAATGGCTTTTCGGAACCTAGAATATTTGGCCGAATGATTCTGTCGGAATGGGCCAACAGCATTAAAAAAAAATCTAGAATATTCTTTGGTCGTGTCGATTTTAAAGCGTTTGAGATTTAAGTTTTACGAGTGAGTTGTAAAATAAACTTAACAAACGTAAGTTTAAGTACAGACTATAATGTAATTTGTTTTCAGGCACCGAAATAACGGGACTCGCCCACCAATTGGGATACGAACGCGAAGTCATCAGAATATGGTTCTGTAACAAACGGCAAGCTTTGAAGAACACCGTGAGGATGATGTCCAAGGGCATGGTCTAAAAATCTGTGATTTATTCGTATATAATAATATATAAAACTTACTTTAAACAAATTTGTACATAGAGAGAGGACAAACTATATCGATAACAATCAATTTTAATACTTTGTACATTTGTAAAGTTAGACGGTTAGGATTAGGGTAGGTTTTTTTCAGGAGTCTGTCGTCTATTCGAGGTCTTTTTCGAGGTTAAGTCAAGTTTACGAACATATCTATCTCGGTGAGAAACTATGGTTTACGGGTTTCACAGTATAAACCAATGTAGACAGGTTATACCTCATATATTTCCCTAAATACATATGTACCAAACAGTACTTAACTGTTTTTACGAGTTTATAATACCTTCTCAGAACATAACCTCAATGTCGGTAATATTTTTTAGTTATTTTCGCGTTTTTTTATTCAAAATAAATGTTGAAAGATGCTCCCAAGAGTCATTGTATTATTTTATTTATTTAAGCTACCCGGTACTATAAGATGTTACGTGTTTGTTTTTAGTTAAGCTTTCCGACAGTTCAACTTTCGATCTATGCGATGTCCGATTCGTTTGGTCACAGATTACCATTAACGCAGATGCTAAACAGTGGTCATGACCTTCATTCTTTTTTATTCCGGATTTTTGCAACAGAATATATCGCTTCCCATGTTATTATAAATAAATGTAATAACGGTAGTTAATTGCACATATCAGACCTTATCAAAGTTGCTCGTTAAAGTTTATTTTCCAGACGCCTGTGCCTAGGTAATCTGTGGTCGCGTGACGGCAGGTTATCGGTCAATTTTCATTTATCGCAACAAAAAGACGACGGAAAAGACCCGGGATATACTACCCCGTATACACGCTAGATTTAGAACGAAAAAATGTCATATTATTTTTGTATATCGCTCACGTGAGAAGCAGCCCGCGGCAAATAAAGTATAACATCGGTACCGAGGAAAATTATACGTCTGATTATGATTTTCCTTGCCGGTACTACGCAGAGCTATAAGGAGAAACATCGATAAAGCCGCGTTTTAAAAATTCTAACCTCACTTTCAGAATGTCGCCGCTAAACCAGATTTTCATAAACTTTCCCATGATCAAATAATTTTAACGGTAAAACGGTTCAAAGCTTCTATTTATCTTGTTCTTCTTGGCCCTCCGTAGTCGGTACGCGAAGATCGAAGTAGGGGGCGGCTATTTTCGCGCCCCCGAAAGAAACCAAAGTTCCTACTATTAGCTCGTACTCGCCCACGTACGTGGCCGATAAGCTATTATCTAGTTACTAATTCTACTTGTAAGTATGTATAACGCTTTAACAAAATGTATATATCGAATGTAGATCGCAACGGGGGCGTGTTTGGCGTTTCGTTTCGGTATGTTTCGGATGGTGGACGAACTACTAATGTGTCCGATCGTCCATGGGACGCGTCTCACCGATGCTGTAAATTTGAACCTTTTAGATGACAAAAATAAACCTGTAAAGAAACACGTGAAAATGTAATTGTATTCGTTCGTGTAAGTAGTAATCGTATACATTGAGAAATAAATGAAAATAATAATTGTACGCTAGACCTTTGCTTTTTAACCCCTCAGTATAACATACAACAAGCAGTAGTCGCCATAATACTTGATCTTGATATTGTAGACTACAGAATGTCAAATAGCCAGTTGGTACGTACAATTTATCTTCAATTCAATTCAATTTAAGAATTTAATCAAACTAGCTGAAGTGTTACCAATCATCCTGTTGGTTTCTTCAGAAAAAAATTGAAACCGACTCGCGTTCTACTCTGGACCTGCTTATATATTGTTTGAAAGAAGCGGAGCTAAAGACTGATTCCAATATTGGTGAAACGGGTGAGTCATGGTTAAGGTTGTTTGGTAGCTTATAGATTTCCATGGATTGTGGGATTTTTCATTGGTAGAAGAATTGATTACATGAAAGAATTTTAGTTTTATCAAATAATGTCCGATTTTATGATTCTGTTCGGCAATTGCTGTCGTAGTTTTAAGGCCTTTTCATGTTTTTTGAGCTTAGTTGATATTTTCCGTCCTGTCTCTCTAATGTATGTCAACCGAAATTTTGTCTTTGGCAGATCAAAGATGTTGAGAGATTTTTGGACATGTGGTTTTAACATTATATTTTAAGTGGCAAGTGACAAGACAAGCCTGTGATGAAATTCTTAATATCTCTGCGGAAATTATTAGAAAGAGGTTCTGGGTTCACCTAATGCTATGTCTATATCTATGCTATTATTATTAGTATCTAATTCAGTGATAAAACGTGTGTTAGGCCAAATAACATAAGTATCATCAACATGGCGTTTCCATAATTTTGGTTTTAGATGGAAAATGTCGAGGGCTTGCTTGTCAGAAGCTTCCATAAATGATAAGGTTTGGTTCCAGATTCTCAGATTTTAATATACATTGGGAAATTCAGGGATAGGGCCTTTAGTAAAGAGGGATTCTACGTCAAAACTAACCAAAATACCGTTTTGATCAAATATAATGTATTTTAATTGTTTAATGAAATGAATGGAATTACGTCGGAAACTATCAGTCTTCTCTGTATAGGGTTTTAATATAGAAGAAAGATATTTTGCTACAGAATATGTCGGAGAAACTATGGTACCGACAATAGGTAGGAGTAATCCTGGTTTGTGAATCTTAGGAAATGATAGTGAAGAAGCCTTAATAACTGATTTAAGGTTCCATAGAGTACGTAAGACCGTTTTAGGTTGACGCTAGGATCCGTAGTTTAGGAAATTTGGATATTTTTGGCGGTTTCAAATCGAATTTCATTAGTTGTTTGAGATGGCAGTTTATTTAGAATAGATTCGACATTTAAAATGATTTCCTCTTTCTGCATAATACGTGGGGCAAGGACGAAGTTGGAACCTTTTGCAAGAACTAATTTTTCTGTTGGTGCCACAGTGTTTGGTAGTTGAGAAGAGTTCGATAGTTTCACTAGTGTTCACGTTATATATACTATGTAAGCCCATGTAATATCACTTGCTGCCAAATAAATTTACTGACAACATTTTTATCAAAAACAGGTCTCAAATACCTCTCACGTACCCATAGAATCTTTCTTCTTTTTTACAATTAACTTAATGTTGGGCACGTTTACTAGGAAGACTGCCCATTGACGACATCCATTGAAGATCATACATTGTTGGTAACTAACCAACACTACACTACGACATCTTCAAAAAATATTCAACCTATGTTATACTTACAAACCGTATACAAAACTCACAACAAACTAAAACCCCTTAACTCACACCGGAATCGCAACTGCTAGAAACGAAAGGCCTTTAACCAGTGGTATGCAATGCTCACTACAGATTCACCCCACAGAATATTACTCCTCCTTCGTCGGTTCACAAACAGTTGGGCGGATTGCAATGATCATCCGCCCATTACCAATGTCCATCGAGGCTTTCCCACAGAATCAATTCAATTTAATTATGCGTTTCACAAAAAAATGTTGGGCTCGACTGCTAGGAGCATTCGCCCATTGCCGACTTCCGTCGAGGATTTTCGCTTCTGGTCAATGACCACCACGTACAAAGAAGAAAAATAACCAATAATTTGCTCAGCTAGCAAAAAACGATTCTGACCGATACCAAAAAAAATCGGCTTTCCCCCGCTTCCACCGCGGACCATCCGGGCCCATCCGGCCTCCATACCGGCGTGAACAGGGAAAAACGACGGGGCCGACGACGATTATCACTTGAAAACATGCACTGAACACTAAAAACACTAAGTCCACACAGTGGAAACCGATATCAAACTTTTGAGGACGAATACAAGGGAACGGAGGTTAAACCACCGCGTGCAATGCTCCACCACAGAATCCCCACAGAATCAAAAAACATTTGATTTTGTGAACGTGTGACACGTATTAAGCTCAGTGAGACGACATTGCTTGAGGCACTCGCCCATTGATTGGTTGATTGGCGAGTAATTCTTTGCACTATAAATTTTTACTTTTTCTAAGATGGTTGTGTCAATGGATTTATGTTGCACTTCGACTGTTGGGAACCCCAATTCACGCCGGTATTGAGGCTGAACGAGACCGGATGTCTCTGATACAAAGGACGTGACCATTTGCTATCATAGGTTCATATCATAGTCGCCCCTGAAGGATGGTGGAATGTTGCAGACGTTATTCAGCTACCTAAATCAGAAATATGAACCGTGAAAGAATAAAAATCACAATTTTGTATGCCAATATTCTGTGGAGTTTTATATCTTACTGCAACTCATGTTGACTCCAAATTAAAGTTATAACTGGCCCGAAAAACCCCTCAATATAAAAAAATAATTGGTTCAAGTAAATTATAAGGCGTCGTGTTTTTTTTTATAATTTATCGGAAAATTTAATCACTATTTGCCAATTACAATTCTGCGAAGGGACAAAATGATCGTGGACGACGCAAGGTCAGAACAATTCGGCAAATTCATTACGAGATTATTAATCTAGGCAATTAGGAAAATCTAGGAGGCGTTTCTTTTTCGTTATTAATCGGCCATGTTTCAGTTTCACGCCAAATAACTTTACCAAACTTTTGGTTAGTTGAGCCAACTCGGTAAGTAAAATTTCTACTTTACTGTACTGACACAGTCCATTTTAGTCTGTGACGTAATCGAGTGTTTTAAGCACAGCAGCCAATAATAAAGTAATTCAATTCTATCGATTAACTGTTTGTCTGTCTGAAACATCGAATATCTAACGGTCCAGTAGTATATGATTATTCTGTATCGAATGCAAGAATGAAAAATATTATGCCAATACATTTGCATTCGAAAAAAGAAACAGAAACATAGTTATTAATTATCTGCATGCTGCAAATCAACAGGAAACGTTCTCTTTGCGGAGATTTAATTTAATTTATTATGCTAAAAATTGAAATTAAAATACTTGCACGCTGTATGCACACACACACATATAAATACATTTCGCAACCCTATGTAATTCGATAAAATTAAAAAGCCTGCCTAATATTTCAATGAAACCCGATATACACCTGTTCCATGAAAACCATAATCGAGGTTTACTGATTTTTTCGAAATTTGAAAACCTTGCCTTAAGATATAACAGTTTCAAACGACACCATGTTACGTATTGTAATATCGTAGAAATTTGGATTTTTTTTAAATTAAAAAGCGACTTTGATTGAGACGCTGACAATTTAAGTAAAGATTTCGACGTATGTTTTCATTTCGTATATGTTGTGTTCTAGATATCCTGCAGGATCTTCTCAGGTAGTCCATTTCAGCAAGCAAAGCAGCAAAGAAAGAAAATTCATTCACTCGTCTTCCTGGATAGCTCTGTCTTTCATTGTCTGTTCTATACGTTCCTTCCAGGTCCTTAAGGGTCTTCCTCTTCTTCTTCTATTAAGCGGTTGGTACAGTAGTGTTTTTTCGGCCACCTGTCCTGTTCCATTCTCATCACATGTCCGTTCATGTCAATACCATCAATTTATTTTTCCTGTCTGTCCGTCAATTGCCAGCACTCACATCCATATGTTAGAATAAGCTCCACTATAAATTTGTAGATTGTCAGTTTTGTATTTAACCAAATTTTTTCTGATCAAAACAATAAGGAGCTTTTTTCCTGGTTGCAGTCTATTTTGTATGTCTTATTTTGCTGTTCCGTCTTCTGAAATTATGCTTGCTAGGTATTTATACTGTTAACATTTTTTTACTCTATTTATATCAAGTTCGGGATCTTCATACAAATCGCAATGAACAACAGCTACAGTCCGTCCATTATAGATAAAATTATAAATAAAAAACAAATCCAGACAACGGTAAACTCTATTTATCCCAAACCTAATACAGAACCCGAACAATTTAAAACAATGACATACATAGGAGAACCTAGTGAAAAAGTTTCAAAACATTTGTCAAATGTGGTTTAAAAATAGCTTTCAGAACTAACAACACAATAGGAAAATTTGTAAAAAACAATAAAACGAAATGTCTAAAATCTGAAAAAACAGGTGTCTACAGATCTTGTCCTAAAATTTATATTGTACAAACAGGTAGATCCTCCAAGAAACGCATTAACGAACATAAAAGATCGTTTAAAAACAATAGTCTAGATTCTAATTATCCTACACACTTAAACAAAGAAAAATATATTTTTAACGATAAATTTGATATTTTGCATACAGCCACAAAAAGCAGAAAATTTAATTTATTGGAAGCCATGGAGATTAACAAAATGAGACATTTAAATGTGTTGCTTAACGATCAGTTAGATTTAAAAGCCTCTCCTTTATTGAACTTAAATTCTCACAACATTCATTAAGGTTTTATGGTCATTTTTCGGTATATATAGTACCAGGTAGTTTGTAAATATCACATTTGATGAAGAGATAAAAATATTTAATTTCGTGAAAAGTCTGGTATAAGAAAGTGACTAACTGATACGAATTAACCCTTTCGAGACGAGCGACGGATTTATCCGGTTCTTTATTTTTTGGCCTCCAGACGGGTGTCGGATATATACGTCTTACTAAAATATAATTCTACCAACGGTTGTCGTTTAAGTCCGACACTATTTGAAATTTCCCGTGTCTGTGGGACTGCCGTCGAGTTACTCCGTGCCGGCTAGCTTGGCTAAGAGACGATTGTCGGAGATATCCGGTCCCGACGGAAATACGCGACAGTCGTCGATCGAATTATTGGGAACTACGCGCCTGCACCCTGCGGCCTGCACGTGTTTTTAGTTAGTTCATTTCTGTGGTTTAGAACCTAGAGAGGCTAGAGAAATAATGAAAAATATAAATGATTTCGAAGAATTTTATGTCAGTAGTGACGAAGAACCGTTCAGTGCTAGCGGGAGTGAATATGAGCCCTGTACAACAAGTGAAAGTGAGGCGTTTGAAAGCGACAATGAAGTGTTGGGGGACGAAAGCGATACAGAACAATTAAATGTAGAGGAAGGGAATGTAAAGGAAGACATCGGAGTTGGGGAAATGCAGCCATCAGAAGGGATACAAATAGACTGGACAAATAACGAATTTAAGCCCCAGAAACATGCATTTATAAATGACCGAACTGGAATAAATCCTGATATGAATCTTGGTCAAAATTCAACTGAAATAGATTACTTTTTGAATGTTTTCACAGATGATATTGCTAACTTGATTGTGAGTGAAACTAATCGTTATGCAGCGGAAAATTCACAAGGCTGGAAGGATCTTGACACGTCAGAATTTTACGTGTTTCTAGCATTGAATTTACTTATGCCAAGAAATAAAAAATTATCTGTAAATGAATATTGGTCCACTGATCCCTTATTATTATTATTATTAATTCAAGTTAAGTTGCTTTGTTTTTGACTAGATTAAGTTACAGTGGCTTTTTTGTCATGTAGAAATAATCTATTGCTACGTATTATCAATAAATCGTATATAAGAATTTATTTTTCCTAGTCAAAACATTTTTTAAACCTTTAAATTTAATATAAACCTTATATTCATGTTTTTTCTCACTGTCGGAGTTATCCGACGCTCGTCTCTAGGTCAATATCGAAACGCCCGTCTGGGGGAACCATCTATATGATTAAAGTGCCGTCTCGAAAGGGTTAAGGAAAGACCCGGGCAAGCTATAAGAATGAAATATGGCCGAACAGGTCCGTACTTTGCTTAGAATTTAATTATTTGGGGTTTTGTTAGGAAAGATACTAAACAACATTAATTTATTTATGTATGTATTTATGTCCAAATCTAAAATAAAATCACAAATTATTTTTATTACCTACTTAAATTACTTCAAATTATTCACATAATATATCAGTATCACTATAGCTATCATCGCCTGTTCTAATTATTATTTGTTCTATATTATTTGCAATATGTATATACTATTGTTCCGCCTTTTCTGTATGTTTCACATAATTTGGCCAACTTTGTGGAGGGATGTTAAAAACTTAGGTTTCTATAAGTTTGAGAACATTAAAGTTAACACGGGGAAAAACAATGTTACGACGAATGGCCGATTCCAGTTGGTGCCAAACATGTTCAATGGGATTAAATATACGGTGCTAAGGTGGAAGCCTTAAAACTATATGCCCTAGATTTTTTGCATAATTATCACAGACGTATTCCTTTTGTAGGTTCAAGCTTTGTAGAACCTCAATTAAGTGCTTTTTGGTATAATTATCGTGAAAATAAATGTCGTTATTATACAAGCAATTTTGGATTGTCGCTTTTGTGTCACACGAGGAAGGGGTTCTAGTCAACTGTCTACTGTGATAACTTGCATTGTCCATTACGATTACGCTATTAGGAGGAATGTTTGGAACCGGTTTGTTTTTAAACCAACTTTCAAATAAATCAGCGGTGGTGTCTTCATAGTAATCCAGAGAAAAATCTTTAATATTTTTCGCAGACAGAGAAAATCCATTTGGAATCCAACCATCTTTAGATCCAGCATGCAAAATAGTTATTCTTTTACCTCTTTTTGATGGCGCGTTTGTTTTACACTTATCAGTTGAGTCAACCCAACACTTTTCCGGGGTGTCATAAGTGTCGAACCTGGTTTCATCCAAGTAAATAATTGGCCTCCTAATTAAGATATCTGATGTAGGTACGCTTTGTTGCTCGTATACACTCGAGAAAATGTCAGCATCTCTTTTTTTTCCTCGCTGAAATAGGATTATGCACAATTTTCCATACAGTTGATGTTGGAATTTTCGTCAATGTATCCGTTTCTTCTAAAGATGCTTGCTTGCTGGCGCCACGTTCAATGAGAGTCAAATAAACTTTGTTTATTATACAATAGTGTTTTCTACATTTGGGCGGGAGCATCTCCTGAGATATATTATACACGAAATAAGAATGATTACTAATAAACTTAAACTAAGTAGTACACCGAACCAAAGAATATTAAACACAGGTAGGTATAAAATTATTTTCTATTACGGACTACAATTTTACCTGAATTAAAATTCCGAAGCTTTAGGTAATAATCATGTTGCATTGTATGTTGATGACCACCCATGGATAATCCCATTCAAAAGCAATTGGCCACTTTCATATATCTATGAACAGACCTTACTTATCGAGTACACCTCGTAGAGAAGGCCGTCTGGCGACGCGTACTCATTGAGTGAAAATTTCGCGGTCACTCGTTTCAAAACGCATCGCCGTCAGTCAGCCAGCAATCAGTTCGCGTGAGTCGCGCGATTGGAACACAGGAAAAACCGTCCTGCAACGTTCAAAAAAAGGCGACGGCGTATTATACAGCGTGTTCGCGCGACGCGGTCCATATTTATTCAATTACACGCTGCTCCTTTTCGTAAAAAATAAACCGTATATTTAGTTTCGTGGGTTAACGCGAAAGAAAATTGGGGTTGCGTTTACCCTCGACCAGGGTAAGTTTTTTAAGTTTTTTTTTTCGTTTTCGAAGACCGCTACCGAGTGAGCAAAAAGTGCAGGCTAGCGAACTTGGTGTAACAGAGAACAGAGAAAATTAACGATAAAAACGAATGCAACGATTTTTTTTTCTTAAACGGCTGTTGAAAGTATCTCCGTTTCAGTCTCAGTTCCATTCGCCCATTGTTTTTTAAAAATCATACACGACATCAACAAAAATTAAATGTTTGGGCAGGGATTTTGAATAACCAAATTTTTGGACGCCTTCAAACTGATTTAATTCCTGCTCTAGCAGCTTCTTTCCCGAATAGAATCAGTCTGATATGCCAGACAGGCAGATTTGGTTTCAACAAGCGCAAATTTCAACATGTTAGTCACAACAAGTTCAAAACAAGTGGTTAAATATGTAAAATAGACGCAACTACTTTAATTTTTCATTAAATTTGTTTTCTATGTTGGAGTCATTTGGGACCAATATGTCAATTGGTAGCGCTTCCCTGGATTGTTTTTTAATAACTGTAATATCCGACTTGTTGTGTGCTATCGTTAAGTTTATTGCAGCAACTTTGTTGTTGTGCCGTTCTAGATATTTATTTGTCGCCAAGTTTTCACAGCTAGGTTATATATGTTCTACGGTGTCTTTTTTCTTGTTGCACTTTCTGCACCTACCCGTTGGTATTTGTTCCTTAAGGATATACTTTTGATGGTTTCCATAAATCCTTCAGAGTCTGGAAAAAGCGTTCCAGTTTTCAGCTATTTCAAGGACTTGCTTGGATCTATTGAATCTTTCTGTAAGTTTTGGTGATACATAAACATTCTTAAACCTTGATAGCAGGCGTTCACATAATTTTTTATTCCTATTCCTCCTCTCTCTGTTAGTAGATTCCTTCTTTCAACTGACGCTTTTGGATGGTGTTTTCTGTATTTTATAAATTCTGTTCTTATCTTTCTGTTTACTGCTTCGAGATCTGTTTCTGTTTATTTAACTATTCTTAAGGAGTATTGAAGAGCAACGTCATAGAGTAAATAAATTTCCCTGGTTCTAGTTCGACCTGTTCTCCTTTCCTTTTTAATTGATAAAGTTTAGCATTTCTTGATGCAAAACAACATTCCGATATTATTATTATTATTATTATTATTATTATTATTATTATTATTATATTGTTATTATCATTATTATTATTATTATTATTATTATTATTATTATTATTATTATTATTATTATTATTATTATTATTATATTTGAATACGGTGAGTGGATTTGTAGGAGTGGAATAACCTGCAATATGTCCAGATGTTACTCCAGTGGATTTTTTTATCTGAGGATACTTAAAATCAAAAGTGCACAAGGAAAAGCCTCAAAATTTAAATGAAAAATTTGGAATTAGATACGAAATAAATTATAATTATAGTTATAATTACTGAAAATATGATGATTAATTTTTTGGAAGTTTTTATACCGATTAACAAATTGTGAGAAAGGACCCACCACGGCCTTGTTTGAATAATCGGACCCTGTGTTCCATAAGCTGTTCAGTTTCTGGAAAGGTCGTTAATAAATCTACCATATTATAGTCAGTTTTTGTATCAAAAGGCTTAAAATTTTCCACGCCTAAGTTTACAAGTGTATATCCTGTATCCGCTCTCAATATAGCGTGATGAAGTTCATTATTTTGGTCATACAAAAAACTTCTTAAACCTTAATTGCAGGCGTCCACATCATTTTTTATTCCTATTCCTCCTCTCTTTCTTGGTATATTCATTTTTCCACACATCCTTTTGGATGTTTTCTGTATTTTGTAAATTCTGTTCTTATCTTTCTATTTATTGCTTCGAGGTCTGTTTGGCTTCATTTAACCATTCCCAAGGGGTATTGAAGTTTAGCATTTCTTAATACAAAACAACGTTCCGATATTATTATTATTATTATTATTATTATTATTATTATTATTATTTTTATTATATTATTATTATATTTTTATATGTCTCGGTCAGTGGATTTGTAAAAGTGGATCAATAGAATAACTTGGAAAATGTCCAGATGTTATTTCAATGGATTTTTTTATCTGGGGATGTTTAAAATCAGAATGAACAGCATTAATATCACCGTTCGAAGACAATATTAAAAAACGGTAAATTTTTGAGTTTTTTAGGTAGGTGATTTTTGAAGGTGGATTCGGTGTTTCCGACCCGAGAAACCGCCCTATGCCGGTTTGCAACCGATTCGGTCTGTAAACGTCCGAGATAGCAAACTTTTTGAAATTTGAGGAGGCACCCTCAAAAAAAAACTCCACAGACAGGTATAGGACATCGAGGTTCAAAAAGATGCCTGGGTATAGGCGCGTCTACTCAGTTTTTCGATCCGTCCTCAGAACCTCCTCAATTTTGAGGGAGGTCCCTTTTTACGGCACCGTACGGCGCTCGGGCCCCCGAACGCAACGGTGACACTTGCGCCCCGATTCGACCTCAAATAACTCCGGAAACCTCAAAAAACTATTTTTTGAGATCGCTTCCTCCTCAACAATTTTTTCTGAATCAATTTTTTATAACGCGAACCTCCTAGGTCTCACCGTTTCCGAGATCCCCACCCCTACCCCCACTCCTAGCCGCCCCCCAAAATTCATTTTTTTTTTCAATACGTAATAAAATAATTTTTTCACATGTCCCACCCTGTATATTGCAGGACAAAATGCTCAAGAAAAAAATTACTTCGAATATTTTAGTCACATTTTAACTAATAAAAATAATAATAAAGAGATTAAATTATTTTTAAATTGAACTGTGTTACGCCGTTATACTTTTTCGGGGTTATTTTTCCATTTTTTCCAAAAAAAAAATTATGGGGGATACATTTTTTTTTTGTAAATTTAATAAATATTTGAACCTTTCTGTTTGTTAAAAAGGGCAATATATACTTTTTTCGTATCGTATTGCCTTGTATCAAAGAAATTCTTCGTTGCATTGCTCGCAAACTCGTGACTAAAGAACCGGAAAGGCATAAAGTTGTTCATGAAAGTTTTTAACCACAGAATAGACAGAAAACCAGAAGGTTAACTCTCAGTTTGGGACTGAAACTTTGCCTGACATAAAAATAAAGATAAAACTCGCCCGTGTAGGATGTGCATGGTATGGCAAATCTTTTTAAAAATGTCATCATAGGAAGCGAACGAATTTGTCTTTAATACGGCTCTGCGTTTTATCTTTATTAACTCGAATTGTTTTGACTGTTCTGTGGTTTAACAAAGTTTAAGTGGAGTAGAATAATATGTTTAACAAAAACTTTGCTAAGGCGAAAAAGCATTCTAGCAAAAAAAAAAGTGTCTCTTTTTTTCTTGTAAATATAACCCAGTTTTTATTCACACTTTTAGCTTAGGTATAAGGATTAATCGCAATTGAAAATTGCTAAAAATAGCGTACGTGTATTAGACGTGACATGCCAATGTAACAATTAATTACAGTAAATAATATTTGCCCGATCACCGTCTCGTATATTTTTCTATCGTCAAGGCCATTGTCCGGGTCAAGACCAGCGACTGTTAAATATTATTATGCGACTTTTTAACTTTTTCGTGTAACAAACTTTCTCGTAAACTTCTAAGAGATCTTAAAGGAACGCGTCACTTTTAAATCATACGATACGATTAAAACTTGCGATTGAGAAATTCTATACAGCACGCTTATCTGTAGTGATATATAGGACAAATCAGTCGATATATTTTTTCGAGATTCGTTCATTGATAACAACGGTTTTCACGTGTAAGACGCACTGATAGTCTTGTAATAAAACGAAATTGTTAAAAACGCAAAATTTATTTTCTTTTTGTGAGATTCATTTCGTTTTTTATTTTCTCTATCTGTTAGTTTGGTTTAATTTTTTTATTTTGAAATCTTTCTTAAATATGTCATATTTTTTTGGTTCTTATTAAGTTTGCAGCCTAGCTAATATCTTTTAGGTAATTGTTATTAAATTTAAATTTAAAGTAGTTGAAATGCAAAAGGAATAAGAAAATTGACTTTTTATTGTTTATTTAATTTGTTTAATGTTATTTCATTTTAAACGTATTGATTTAGTTTTGCCGGTAACCCTGTTGTATTGTTTATATTTATAATTATTTTAACAATGATGTAATCATTTGATACAATAATTTATATTAATTCTACTTACGTTTAAAAAGTAAAAAACGAATGGGGATTTTTAATTTAAAAAAAATAAAAATTGTTTCTAAATGGGTAACATTTCAAGTCGGTAATGAACATATATACACAAAAAAAGCTATATTCTAATTGAATATAAAATATAAATAAAAATATAAACGTAGGTCCGAAAATACTTGGTTCCCAATATGCATGGGGTGTTCAAAAGCAATTTTTTTTTTTGTGAGATTTTTTTCGTTTTTTTATTATTCTTCTTATTTTTATTTTTTCAGTCTGTTAGTTTGGTTTAATTTTTTTATTTTCAAATCTTTTTTATATATGTCATATTTTGATTCTTATTAAGTTTATAGCCTAGCTAATATCTTTTAGGTGATTGTTGTTAAAATTAAATTTAAAGAAATTGAAATGCAAAAAGAATAAGAAAATTCACTTTTTATTGCTTATTTAATTTGTTGTGTTTTTTATATTTATTATTATTTTGACAATGATGTAATTATTTGATGTAATAATTTATATTAATTCTACTTACGTTTAAAAAGTAAAAAACGAATGGGAATTTTTAATTAAAAAAAAATAAAAATTGTTTCTAAATATATATACAAAAAAATCTATATCTAATTGAATATAAAATAAAAATAAAAATATAAACGTAGGTCCCAAAATACTTGGTTCCCAATATACATGGGGTGTTCAAAAAGCAAAATTTATTTTTATTTGTTAGATTTTTTTCGTTTTTTTATTATTCCTCTTATTTTTATTTTTTCAGTCTGTTAGTTTGGTTTAATTTTTTTATTTTCAAATCTTTTTTAAATATGTCATATTTTGATTCTTATTAAGTTTATAG